ATATACATATAAATATCTATATATATATACATATAAATTCAAAGTGTATATATATAACTTCGAATTGAAGTTAAAAGCATAAAAAGATCCTTCATATGGTGAAATAAGCGTCCTCTTAAGTAAGTGTAGGTGAAAATGATAACACGATTAAATGAAGTTCAATATTTCGAAACTTCACGAGTGGATCGAAATCATAGCTTACAGAGTCTTTTGTGGGTACATTGAGCAAGCGGACTAGCGGGCCGATGGTCATTCCCTGGCAGAATACCGTGAAGTAGATGACCGCAATCGTAGTCGTTACAAACATCCGCTTCTGAGGAACCACCTACACACATCGTGCATGCGTCCCACGTGTCGGACACACGGATCGTCGAATCAATGAAGAACACAAATGTCGTAATGCGTGTGACAAAGTAAAGCCTTTGATATAATGGCTGAATTTGGGTGTTATTCTATCTATTCGGTTAGTAATTATTGACAAAGTTTTGCTCCCATACTCATTCCCATAACATTACGCTAATTTGGTGACTCGAATTCATCGATATATAGATATGTATATAATAGTAAGTTTCGAGCCTAGTTGTTATTGACAGATCTAGAACTTGGAACAGGAACGGAACTGGCGTAAGGATTTAGACATGTGAAACAAATTTGCTGACCGAATCTCAGCGAGATAAGGCCGGGATTGACGTGAACGAAAAGCTATTGAATATATACTACACTTCATGCGGTCTTCGCCGATTCCCCCCGTTGCAGAAACGTGCAAATTGATCCGACAGAAAGTAACAAAACTATTCAAAAAACAGAGAGTACCTACAAAATGAATACCTACCTCCTCATCGACGACGAGGACGAGAGCGAAAGCAACAGCACCTCTCAGTCCTCCGTAAGACATAATAAACTGATCAACCTGTTAAAAAAAGATAGTTAGCAACCATTATACTATGACCTTTGTGTTCAGCTCCTGCTAACCTCCTCTAAACAACCCAGAACTGATAATTGATGCGCATAAACGAAGTGAAAACGGAGCACGCTGATAGCAAATTTTATTACACAGAATGTATAGGATGAAAAAAACAATGATAATGGAAGAATATGCTGCTGCGACGAAAAGTCATTTGTTGCTGCCTTACTTATACATTGCTTCAGGTAAGTGGCGGCTCCTTACAGCGTGAAGCAAACCGGAAGGCGCATCGATGTTCTGTTCCGACCCTAGACTATTTTGCGTGTTCCCAGGTTTTGTAGGCATGTACGTTACTACAAACTGCTGTTACTATAGCAAATATAAACCTTCAAAACTGAACCTGGACATATATGCATACATACACGGTTCACTTCATGCTAGAAGCAAAGACCACAAGTTTTCGGATGCAGCTAGATTACAGCAGCATAGGACGTCAAACGTTTATTTAAGGACTAAACTGGGTCAATGTTTTCAGTCAGGCGGCCTCCAGAAAATGAGATTCAAAACAAACCTAAAAAGCTCCTGAGAGTTTGAACAGTACTCCTACGTTCAAGTAGGTGGTAACAGCAAACGAACGAGACATCTGGACGGGTGGAAAACTCTTTTCGAAGCAGTACGTTTCTTCACATAGGTACTATACGTTTGAATCCTACGCTTATCGATGTTGACTGGCCAAACATATGGCCATTGAGCCTGATATCGAAATTGCAACAATAATTTGTGGCTTTTTTCTTCGGTTTATCGAGGTCATTTGAAAAAGGTTTTTTCATACTGGTATAGCGTGGCAGTGCTTACATAGAGCTGTACACGAAAGTTGAGGTAACATGGGTATGCCCCACAAAACTAAGATGATTACATATCATGAACTTTGTATATTTCATTGTAGAACCCGATAGAAGCTATACCTATAGTTGGAAACAATGATTAAGTTAATTAATTAATTAAACAATGATTTGGCATACTCTGTTTGTTGACAACTATCATTTGAAAAGCACGGACGAGTACGTGGAACATAACTACAGTATGCTTTTGACTCACTACCATTTCTTCCAGCCGTCGGTATACAAACCAAATTTTTAGAAAAACAACGATACGTTTTTAAAAATGGTGCAAGATCGTAGCCCAGCTAACCTTGTTCAGTTTATGTAGTCTGTATCTGTTCAATGGCCATGTACAGATTATGACACCTTAAAAAAGAAGAAGAGAAAATAGTTAGTTTTTGGCCAATCTCTAAACTAACCCAAAGTTTTGGCAAGGTACCTTGTTGTACATCAAATACCACGGTCCCGTATTCAACGTTTATAAGGGTTTCAACCTTTTTACTTCAAGCAGTATTATATGTATTAGCAGATTTTCAGGGACAAATGCATCATGTACAGTCCTAAAAAATATGGGTTATACTTAGAGCTACGCTCGAGCACGCCTATGTAAAAACATCGCCCATTAGCATGCATAAGCGTTCGTGTACGATACTATTAGCAATAACGCGCTAAAGCTATAAAGTGCTTAATGGCAAGGCTGTATGACGTTGAATGTAAACAGAAGAGTAGTAAAAATTAAGGAAGGGCACCCAAACACACAAAACGAACGAGCCAGCTATAAATATCAATAGTATGTGATTCCTTATAGTCGCCTAGATCGGTCTTTAGTTATCTGAGCAATATACTTATAACAATATACGCCTGAGTGATGAGCCCAATGTAGGAATGATACATTTATTGAAATAACTTCCTGACATGCTAAACGCTAAACTTGATTTTATCTAAATAAAATACTATATATCTAAATAACGATCTATTCTTTATCTAATATGATTATATCGTACTCCAAGCTTTCGCAAACTTAATTGCATAACTCACAACCAGATGTACGGATGCGTGCAATGGGCGACGAAGACATGAAACACTTCCTAAAACAGCTAAAAGCCTTTGGGAAAAGCCTTAACAACCGCGAAAAACTTAGAACCAAAAAAATCTCTAGTTCTCATCTAGTTAGGCACCTGCAAACTGGCTCAGTCTTGTACCCGTAAATTATAACACTTGACGAGTGGGCGGATGCGTGTCAATCTTGAAAGGCTACAGCTGCAACGTAGCAGCAAATGCCCACGTAGGGCAGCCTTAAAACAGCATTGTAGACTGATGCAATTACTAATTTACTCAGATCACAGATTTACACAGCAGCATGCACAGGCAGACCATTGCAATCTGGTGACGCTTTAAGGCGACGCGGACCCAATCTTAAGTCTAATCACAAAATTTATCCAGAGCCGCAGGTACCAAATCGATTACGCGAGATGTGGCAGTTACTGCTTCAACATAAACAAAGTATAAACATCGTATAAATGCAAAACATTTAAGCCTTTTTCTCAGCGATATCATAAGCATGAAGTTATGAGCAAGTTGCCTTCGTTACATTTCCTTATAGCGGGCGAATTGAGAGAGTTCTGAAGTATTCTGTCTTTATTTATGAATACTAATTCATTTACTTTGAATTTCTAAGCATGACCTTGCCGCCAGTACCCACCTAGTGTTCGGAAGACAGAAATTAACAGAATTGTTAAGCAGATGAATTGTGTGTTCCATTCGTGCATGTCGTTGACCTGCGGTAAAACAATTAAGTTAATAACAGTTGGTAAAAACTGGAGCAGCACATCGTTAAGCTAGAATGAATTTTCCTGGTCATGTTTAAAAAGACCCTACGTAAATCAGGCTACTTCGTAACGCTTACCGTTGTTACTCCGAGGAAGAGAAAGATAATAGTTTCCGAGCAGTTTGCAATCATCTTCATTCCGTATTTAATCGTTGTATGAGACTTTTGCGAGACATTTTCCTCCACGTAATTTTTCATCGTCATGCCTGCGATAAAATCAATTTGAGTGTTGTCGAACTTACGTTCTTGCTGTTAACGACAGCGTATTGATTAGATCTCGTTGCTCGCAAATTACAAAAAGAGAGTATTGCCCTGAATAGCACAGTTGTTCCTGGTTAATAACAGAATTAGCAGGCGGATACGGCACTCCTGCCTAGATTTTTGAAGGGTCTAAAAGGTCATGCGAATTCAAGCTTTCCGAAATGTCATGCAAGCTCGCAAAGTTCTATAACATTCAATTAGAACGAAACCGAGTTTTCAAAGATTTGCGAGATTCTTTAGATAAGTTGAACAAAGCTCCGCTTAGTATAGCGTTTTCTTCAATTCATTTTTGTTTTTTTCTAGGGCACATTCAAATATATTTAAAACAAGTAGCAACACCACGATTTTACTTAATATTTCCAAACACTGTGCATATATTCAGCGTACTTTGACCCTTATTGATATGTAATATGTTTTGTATTTGACTTTCGACACTCGTCAAGGTCCTGTCTACGCCAGGTTTCGAACCTGGATCCAACGTCATCGTTAACGCCCTTAAGTCTTGGTGAACAAACGTTTTATCACTGCGCCGTTTAACTAGGGACGTATAATGGGAAGACAGCTCGTCAACTTACCACAACATGTCAGAGATAAGATGCCGCTTAATTTAAACATTTCCGCGAGCAAATAGGCTAAATAGCCAAAGAGAAAAATGAAGAGAGGCTCAACTGGCCGTACATGATGAGTAAAACGGGACGTGAACGCTGCAATCAGTCCTAGCAAAATTCCGACACCTGGATTTTCAACATTACAAAATACAAACAGTTGTTCATTATTATTGCTATTTTTGTTATCGTTAACTATAAAGCTGATGAAAAGAAATTCTTTAAAGGATTACCCGACTGCCATCGGTCCATGATGACGTTTCCAGTATGTTTCACTATTACCTTGTTATGTTTAGGTGAATGTAAGGCTCTCGTGTGTTTTAAATAGAATGACATATATAGACCTTTAATGGGGTCTTCTGGGACCGTAGAAGGCTGTCTGTTAAGCTGATCCTTTTGCACATCGTATGACGGAAGAGAACAAAAGTACAAAAAGAGCGAGTAGGATCGATGCTGTTGAAGATAGCTTACGTGTAAAGTTTTCCGTTTTTAAAATAGAAGATAAATTTAATAGAACTCATTCATATGAGGCCAAAACGATGATTTTTCCTTAATTCTTCCAGGAAAATCAGCCAACGAACGACCAGTTGTGTACTCAAAACGCTATTTGTATACATATCAACAAAGTATACGTTTCTACTTACCCACTCCTCCAAGAGCGACAACGAAGAAGCTGATAATCCCCTTGATCGCTTCCACCGCAGTGACATTTTCTATTCCCAGAATCGAGTACGTTTCGAACATGCGATACAATACCTAAACGTAGGGCAACAAACACTTCGAAAGTGATAATCCGCCTTTAAAATTAACGTTAGAATGACAGAAGATTTGTGGGGCACAACACGACCGGCCTATCAGTAACCGCTGGCGTTATTAAGCGAATGCGCGTGATCTGCTTCAAGCTAAAAAGACCTCTACTACACAGACAAAAAAAATCATCCCAACAAGGGATACTGGACTCAAGTAGGATATATGTGCTTCATGTAGGCGTGCCTGCTCACTACTATGCATGTACTAGCATTTTAATGGTATGCTAACTTTAACATAGTAGGGCATACGCAGATGTTAGGGTGCTTATAACTGCTATGCGGCTAACTGATAACCTCTACGTTTCGAGTTTTACGTCCGGTATCGTTTTTAGGCATTCCTTGAGACAAACGGCTCGCTTCCAGCCATCACGAAGGGAAGTCTATCTGTTTCATCAAGCTTGGGTTCGAACCTAGACCACAACGTCTTGCTAAGATATCACGGGTAAACCCATCAGCTGACCTAACCTAGAAATGAAGAAAAGAAGCCACAATCCATCGTTTCCAAGCCTTGGCACGTACGTTTGCTAAAACAGTAACTGCAAAATGCAGGTGGCTATTTCCAGATTGCTGTGAATTTCCCGAAAACTCGTAAAAGCGAGTATTAAATATGACAACGTTTATCATGATTAGATATTTAAATTTTATGCCGATGTTCTCTACCGAATTTCTTTACTTGTAAAGGTTCGTTTTGTTTTACCTACCAAGGTTAAACATGTGTCTATTCTGGCTGAGCTCGCCAACAGCCTACGTAAATCTATAGTTCAACTTATTTTGAAAAATATTTGCTCTCGGCGCCGTACCGTATTACAGGCTTGGAACAGCGGATTGAGCAGAAGTTTCCCCCTTCAATAGTCTTTTCGAATAATAGACCTACGCACAAGGTAAAGCATGGTTGGTGTATAGTGTAACCATTCAGACATTACTTGTCACGCATTAGTGAAAGCGTTACGCTTACGATGTATAAACGTTAGGTAAATGAAAGTTCTAACTTTGTGATCGACGTACACCGCATCCGACGCGCACTGAGTGAGATTAGTTTTACGATAACTTGTTGAGCCTGTTTTCTATAAAGATACCTGCGATATTAATGATCTTATGCAGAACGTTGCGTATCTATGAGACTAAGCGCGAGCATATTATGGCTTTTATAGTAAAAGTACCCAAAAAGAGACTCCAGAATAGATAAGTTGTGAGTTACACTCCGAGAACTTGAAGGTCGGACAAGAGAAATATTTTCTACAAAGAAATTGTGGGCCCAAGTTCCCACGGTATCTTACACGCACCACAGTTACGGCATCATTAAGCAAACTCTCCCCGAATACGATGATATAGAGAAGGTCGTTGACGTGAATCTCTTCGAACACCGCAAGCACGGCTACGGGATCCACCGCTGCGATGATTGACGCAAATAGAAAACACTCGAGTATCCCGATTGGCTAAAACAAAGGGAAATCAGTAAAATGTTGTTAAATCTGATACGCCCTCCCAGTAATAGATACAGTATCAAAACAAGCGCCAGCAAGGGGTCAAGGACGGAAGAACGAGTCTATCTAAAAGGCTTGTTTGCAAAGGCCGGCTAAAGTCACCATGGAAAGTACTTAGAAATTAAGAAGCTGGTATCCGTAATACATATATCAACTTTTTGTGGAAAGTTCATTTCAAACAACCCAAATCGTTGCAGTTTATCAATTGAGGCAGACGAATATCACAGTAGATTTTGTCAAATGTGACACAAAAAGTTCCAAGCCGCAAGTTGGTGGTGGTTGAAATAATCCCGATCCATTTTATAAGAGACATTCGGCAAGTTCCTTTAATAGATAAAATTCTAATTCTAGGATTCTCTAAGTTCCAGTCCTTTAACAAGCAAGCGTATTATTGCTTTAGTAACTTCATTTGTGCAGACATTGGTTTTTCCCTATTTTATAGGATTACACATATGAATCAATAAACTTTTCATTCGAAAAATTGAAATTGATTATTTTCATAGTAGTGAAGGAAATGACGTCTCACCGTTGGCCCGTAAAATTCCGTAAGCCCGACACCCCAATGACATAAACCAACTGTAAGGGCATTCCATACAGTGGCTACGACCGCGTACATTAAGATCGTCCCAAGATTATCGAAAAACGACCTGAAATCATCGTTCAAACGTAGTCGTTATATAATTCACTTCGGGGCAAACATGACAATAAACCCCAACAGACGGATCTAGCTTAGGTCAAGTTCATTTGAGTTATTGATCGATAAAGTTAAACTATAACTTGATTGTTGCCTGTACGAAATACTATCTTTTATGGGGCACAGCGTGCCTCAATTTCTCGTTGCATCTGTCATACACAACAGCACTTAGCGACACTCAGTATACACTTCCCCGCTGATTCAGTGCTGTCATCATAGAATCGTAGCATTTATTAAGGTTTTGTAAAACCTAAATCATTCGGAGTTAACCCAGATTTCTATATAGGACTATTGGCCGTTTAAGTGAACTTTATCTATAGAAGCGCATCTGGAAACGACCCTTCCCAGGGCTGCTCATCGATATCCCGCTAAATAATAAACTGAAAGACAAAAAAAAACAACGCGATATACCTGCAATCAAAATTTACTACACCTCGAATGTATTTCACTCCCAAAATGTTAGGATTACTGCGCTCATCGAAGTAACCCACAATAGCGTCTTCATCAGATTGAGAATTCTGCTATCGTTCTGCCTGTACACTGCTTGTTGCAGTATATGGAAATATATTTTTTTCTGTTTTACGATCTCAGCTGCCTTATTAATATTACTACACACCTAATGTTCCAAGCAATGTCGGCTATTCGCTCAAACCAAGTGTGGTATTTCTCTTCTTTTTCAGTAGGCCAATTCACACAGAACGAAGTGATTACCTAGACTTCATGGTCGTATATACATGAGCAGGATTTCTGTGACCTGCAATGAATACACGGCAAGTCAGAGGCGTGAGCAGTTGCCCAGGTACGTGGTAATTAATCTTGACGGATATTTTCTGTTTTAAAATCCCAACTAATGGGTCTCTGCCAATAGCTCGTAAATGTTGATATTCGCATGCAATATAAGTTGACCGTAAACAAATAGCTGTACGTATCCCATTGATGCTACTTCAATCGATAACCTAAATAGGACATCGTGGAGCCGTGCGCAGCCGTTCAGAGTCAGATCGCCTAATGGATCATGGCAGTTGCGGTCTAACTTCGGCTACTAGCATATAGTCGTCCAGCGCAAGCTCTTCGCTACTTCATTCGAGGTCCTATCCATGTTGTAATCTTTCACTGCTGCAGGCCCAAATAAGGCGAGCCTTTTTCGTGGCCGGTTTAGTTGATTAATGCGTCCCATTAGCCCCGGTGCTAATAGGATGACAATCCTTGTTGTCCATACCGTCGGCTAATGATATCAGACTTTGGCTGGGTACGATCTAGGTTAACCCAACATGTGCGAAAAATTCTGCCTAACTTCCAGTTATCAGATAAGCAAAACTTTTACGATATGATCTCAGTGGCATCGGACACGAACTGGTAGAAATCGCTACCTGGCTACATTTCGTCGCGGTAATCGGTCGCCACAAGGGTGCCAAGCAAACCTAAAAGACAGGATCTGACAGCAATTACCCATCGAAGCCGTCAGGGGTGAATAAGAGTCATTCCGTGTCATATAACTTAGTCTTGCGTACGGTTCTCGTAGTCGAGAGGGTTCGTTGAATTTACCGCTGAGACAGTGCTATGCACAAGTTAGACACAGATACAAAGAAGCAATGAAAGTAATATCTCGGTATTTCTATATAAAGACGGTAGCTGTCATTACGATGTTGGGAAAAAAACGACAAAGCAATGGTTTGGACAAATAGAGCATGTTTCAAATCGAGGAACTATACGCGTGCTCGGATATGACTTAGCAAATAGATACAGTGCCGGCAAAATATGTCTCTCTATACCCTGTTATCCTTAAACGAACTTCTTTTTGACTAGATAGTTAATTCTTTTAAATAATTTTAAACCGGTAAGAAAACGAGACAAAAATAGAGGAAAGCGTCATTCCGGCGTAGCCTGGGTTGCTACTGGGCCATCAACATGCAGCCATCGCTAATTCAAATTTCAGACTTAGCAAATAGTTGGGAAAATCCCAATAGATATAGCGTAGCCTTTCTTAAGTACTGCAAAATGACAATTTTTCCTCACTTTTTGCCTTAGTGTATGATATGTTGAGGATCTTGCCTTATTGGCATACGGTAGAAATGCGTGCTAGGCGGCCTCGAACGAGCGGCTCTACTTCGTTTGATTGGGACTAATTACACACTATTATCGATAGTCCCGTGATATTATTTATGAAATAGGATGGAATGAAATTGAATTTCAAGTTGAAGCAACAAGGCAACGGTACTAGAGGCTCTTCAAATACGATTGCTTCAGGCATCTCCGCACTACAACGCATTTTAAAAGATGAAGACTTAGACAAAGTTGCCCAAGGAAATTTAGTTAGTTTTGCAAATGCCCTATACAATCACTTATTTTTCATAGTTCTCCGCCTCTAGCTCTAATCAAACGCTTTACGATGTGACAAATTGCTTCGACCAGAAAGGAAGGACATGCCCTTGAGTGTCCGCTTGAGTGTAAGGACGTTTATCAGAGTGACGGACGTATAATACAAGCAATCCGTATGCAATTCGAGATGTTCATTCTGTTCCAACTAAATAAACATTTTATCCCATTTAGCCATCAGTGATATAGCCTTTTCACTGTATAACTGCTATAAAGGTAAGCTAATCACTATGTTCAGGATTTTACTTTTTATAATAAAATAAATATACGCAGTCCTCTAAAATAGCTTACCGTCCTGTCCTATTTTTTGTTGCTATAAAGTTATTAACCAACCCTTGTTGCTCACGCCTGCAGTAACTGTGCGTGTTCTCATCAGGACCGATGCGATACCTTGACCGGTCGGCCTGGCCACAGCCGACGCTACGTTAGGTAACAGTTAGTTGAATTTACTGCGGAAATAAGGACATTCACAGCTTCAACAAAGCCCGCTTGAAATTTGCATAGAACGTAAACAAATGGCTATTTAGGAAGCGTCTATCTTCAACCTATCAACCTGCTAGAAATACTAGCTATAGTTACATGTAGAGGCAGACACGTGTCGCTAGATGGGCACAGTACATGGATGTTCAGGCGTTCCGTGGAGTACGCATATAGAATTTAGCTCTTTTATATGTACATAATATATATGTATATATAGAACGGGTCTTCGTAAAAAAAAAACTTAGTCTGTATAAAGCAGTAGGTGATTCGTTTTAAAAGTTGACATCTGAACTGGCTATTCGTACCTAAAATCCGATTCGGCTCGATAACTATACGCTCGTGATAGACAAAGCTTTAGCTCTTCTTACGTTGGTAAGTTTTTAGTTGAAGTATAATTTTAGCCTTTGCACTCATGATGCCAACAACACGCTAAAAAACAAACAATATATTAAAGCATGAGAACAACAACAATACAAAGCCTTGAATAAGGTTTGTTTCGAACGTAAACTTTCTGCTATGTTTAACAACTATGTTGAGTGTTGGTCCCCTCTCACTAAAGAGCTCACTGCTGGTCGCCATGTCAATATAAACACCGACAACATTACATCTAAGGTTAATCGCTCGTTTATCTGTTACGCAATCAAACAGCTAAAATGGTGTCTGCTATTTTACGACACGTACGAGTTCCATAGAATTCTGTCCTGCGGGTTCAGGCAATCCCAATGAACGATCGCTCGAAGGCCTTCCGACAAGAATACGACAACATTGTGGCCTGTCTCGAACGAAGCCCCACTTTACAAAGCAAACTTATTACCCATCCCCTGTGATTTGGCCGCGGGCACCACACGACAACTCATACATTTATATGAATTATCATTTGAACTGATCGATCCAAAGATCTCACACAAGTAGAATCCATGTGTATTCGGCTTTCAGGTGTTTTGCAACAGGATTTTCCTCGAATCATGTAGTACACACCTTCGTTTGCCTCTACCCACACATGTCCACTTAATACTAACTTAGCTGGAAGACCTCTATTTAAGTTGCGATTATCACGAATATATGAAGCATGAAACAGAATGCGCCCGTCAAGATTCGATGAGGATACATAGTCGTTCGGTTAGTTTTTACAGTTTTCTCGATCAATCTTTCGGGTCGTTACGTCTCGTACCGCCACTAAACATTGATTGAAATTGTGGCTTTTTCCGGTACAAAACGAACTGTGTGTCCTGGCGCAATGTCGAATGCTTAGTAAATAAACGCTAAACCAGGAAAAAACTTGCCTACCTATTAGGCATGAAGTATCCTGCGTCGAGAATGATAGGCGGTAACATGTAGGTGAAGAATACGGTTGGCGTAAGCGGATTGTTGAATTCCTATACAAAATCAGAGATCGGTTATAGAGGTTACTTAGCATACGAACTATAATGATACTTATTATTACTGTTAGCATTTACATTCTTTTGTAGAATTTGCGTAGATTATTCGAGCGCTTAGTTCATTAGTTGCCCATATGCAAGTATATGAAGATGCAGTAAATTCGTCAGAATGAGCATCATAAGTGTACGAAAGCTGAGCTTAATGCTGAAGAACGATTTAATAAGCTGTAGAATGTACTCAGGATCTGTTCGTAGCCCTCCAATTCCAACTGTTATATCGTAAAATATTAAAAATAATAGATGATAATAATAATAATAGTTGAAGATTTTTGAAGAACTAGCTAGGAATTCCAATAATAATGTATATCTTCATATACCGCCACGTATGCCAGTTGCCGTTATATCTATCAAACATTGCCATTATCATGCATTACAAATACACTCAATGCATATTTATTTAGTACATATTTTCCTATAAACGGGGTAGTCCTGTTATTTTGTAGCCATTAAAGCATGGGGATGGTTGACAAGTCTCTTTATCAATGCTCTACCCCTGGGGTCTGCGGGTAACCGCCTACTGCTACTGCACTAAAACGGACACAGCTTACTTATAGTAAGCGATATTTTCTGCTAAAGAGGGCTTGCCTCTTTTTGGAAGTTACTGGGATATCGTTACCCGTAGAACAACAACTGATATCATACGCTTCATCTTTAATCGAGTCGTTTCCCAGAGATGTTCTTCGTAGATAGCAATCTAAATGCGCATACGCGTGCACTACAAATCGTATGTGTTACAAACGCTCATGAGTCGGATGTGCTATACCGCTTCGTCTCAGGATTAAGCTATCGTTGAAACGTCAGGGTATTAGGTCACTCTGTCCTTGTTCGTAGAGACAAGCCAACACGTGTATGTGATTGCCCAAAGTTTTATTAATTGAAGTTCCGTGTCGAGCTGGGGCAAGTGAAAAGAGGAATCGAACATAAGTGGGCAGCGGTCTAAGCAGAAATAAGCTTATCTGTCAGAGTTGAACTCGAAACTCGGCCCACATAAAATAGATTCTGTCCTGGTGGCGACTGTACGTAAAAGTATTGAAAACAACATGCGTCATTTGTAGAGTTCCGCATTCAGCAACAGAAGCAAGATATTTAATTTGCGCATGCGCCTGTCAGAATAACAGGGTAAAATTAAAGTATGAATCTTCTGCCATATGTAAGCGGCTTGTCCGGTCGGCTCACTAGCACGAAGGCCCCCTAAGTCAACGCAATGGCCCTCCTGAGAGGGCGGAGGCTGACGCAAACGCCCGTTGCTGTAGATTCTTTTCAGTGCAATTCCGACTTGCTGAGAGGACTCTTTTCGGAGTAAATTCGAGAACTCTTTCCTTTGCACAAAGGTGCATCCGTCGTACGTAGGGAATACGAAGACCTCGAAAGACGACTCTAGACAAAGGACGAGAGACTTCATCAAAAAGCCTGAACTGAACTCTGTCGAAGAAACAGGTGGACTTCACCACATGAACATCATGAAATAACGTCACAGACCATAGGAAGTTGCTAGTTGTGTAACGCTTTAAAACCATGGCTTGGTTAGACGCAGTCCCGTTCCTTCAGCTGGATTACTTGCAGGCCATACTGGTTCGATCTGCCGGTCTAGTGAACGTTCGTACGGGTCGACCAGTTTCGGGAAAGGGGATCTAAACGCTACTAGATCAATAACACCTTTGCAACAGTATTCGGTCCATCTGGGAAGCGTAAAATTGCCTGCATGTGATAGTAGTTAAGACCATACTATAAACTCAATTCGATAAAAAAAATCTCTAGTTATTAGTAGATTAGAACTTGGCTTTACTCCTTTTTTAACTGTACTTGTACTCTAGAAAGCTGCTACTTTCCCAAGGCGTGAACTACGACTTTAACCGTCCAACTTAAAAGAAGCACCAGATTTTCGAAAAAAATGGAGAACATATAGTAGAAGGCCTGACTCTCATCCGTTAACAGTCGTAAATTGCAGGACAGGTTCTCACGTAATGGATAGACTGAATGAGCCTCCCTGGAGCTTTGTGTTAATTTGTGTGTGAGGCCAGATGGAATTCAGGACAAGATTGATGCTCGCTCCATCATAATTATCGCGTATCCAATTCAGATGGCCTTTTTTATTATAATCAGCCGGGCACAATGGTCGTACGAGAACGCGGATACCAAAAGTATTTCTACGTATCGAAGAATGGGTGTACGAAAATCTACTCTAGTTAACATACGCTCGTGTTTCGGAACGAAGACTACGTTTTTTGCTAAAATCCTGCCCAAATCACGTTACCTGGACGCCAGCGTAGTGAAAGAGTAGGCCAATAATTACTCCAATAACGATCAAAATGCAGGATTCGGGACAGATTTGATGCAGCTTTGGAGTTAGGTGAAAGCCTGAAAAAACGAAGAAAGAAAACAAGACGTATGATTAACGTCTATGCAATCCAGTTACGTCCAGCGTTAAATGAATCATTCAATTTAGAGCCATAGACCCAGAATAAAGCCGCGGTATTTCGTAATAATAGATAACCATTACCCATAACAGCGCTTCTTCTAAATATGTCTACTGCCTACTAACTGTTATAATGAATCAGATATTATGTCGTATCGAGTATACCTGTGTCAAAGGCTTTTAAACATTCTTCCTATGGAAAACTACCGTCTGGCACCAATCTATATTTATCCAGCGCATAAGAGCAAAGCTAAGTTATTGCCGTAACTTGAACAATGTGAACTATCGAGTTGACCTTTTGAATAAGGGTCCCCAAGGATCTCGGCTTTGAGCTGCTCCATCGTATGACAAAATGCATATTTCGTCTCTCAGTGGCGAAGACGATGTCTTTTCTGGTAAATATCATGCGTCAGTTTACTATTATGACCACCTATTATGACCAAAAAACGTGTCCACAGCTAATGTGACAGCAGGTAGATCGTAAAAAGCTATTAATACCACGTAAGGAACGTTTCTGAGCCCTGTCTGGCTAAGGAACAGAGATAGACTGAAAAGCAAACTATGAAAATAACTGAAGATACACGGTAGTATACATGTATATAGTTCAGACAGCAAAATGTCTACCAGGTCTGTCTAGAAATGAGGCACGGCAAAAAACACAAAGGTTAGGTTCCACCTATTCGAATTTTTGGCTAATTGTATTTGTCGTCATTCTGATTTCGTTTAGCTCTATCAGATCATTGTCTTGGTCGTGTTATATGCTATGACATGAATCATGTTGAACATTCGATTCTAGTTGTTTAGAAAGTTGGTTTTTATCCGTCCCTTTTAAAATCACGATAAAATTTTCTACGAACTTCATTGGGTGCCATTTGCCAACATCGGTACCCCATCTGATTACTCAGATTCATAACAAGTTACATGATTTCTTCATTCGACAATGAAGAATATATGGGCTTGCGTACATAACCGAACGTATCTTTCATGGCTGTATCGGATGCATCGTGAATAAGTTAACTGGCGACAATTGTTTATCTTCCGACGGAGTCGTATTAATCGGCCTCTGCAATATTAAGTTATGGCGTTTGTAGCTAAGCTTGCATTTATAACAGAATTACCCAGTTTCGAGTACTAACGATACGCAAATATAGGATCCGTTTTTAATTTTTTTTTTTTGCTGTTTTAGATTATTCGAGCCTATAAGTATGGTCTATAAGTATGTATATTTTAAGCTATTTGCGAGTATAAATAACGTCCGTAAATAAGAACTATATGTTTTATATTAATTAATTTCGTAAAAAATCAAAGTATAGATAGGTGCAGAATATAAAATTGTCTAATCTCCTAAATGACACACAGAGGGCGGTCAACGTTTCAAAGAACCTTATTAATTCATCAAGCTCGTGTGTAAGGAGCCAACGGTCACAATAGCACAACTCTAAAATTACGGATTCTTAGGTTTCAACGAATATCCAAGGTATCTAGCTACCAGAAATGATCTCCCACCATAACATACCCCAAATATGCTATGTGAGGATTTACTGGAGATTCCTTTTTGTTTGGCCCCTTCGGCTGCCATTTGTCAGTGGCAGTACCCGAAAACGCCATCAACTACGATAGGTTTTTCTCACTAGGTAAAAACAGAGACAAAGCGTAATAACGTGAATAATACAAATGAAAATCACACATTTGGTGAAAACGTCCAAATCCATTTCTGAAATAATGAAAATTACATTAGAGGCCCTCACAATGTTTCGATTTTATAGTAGAAATGTTAACACGTGATCCGATCTGAGCCTATTTCTGTATGCACTAGGATCTAGTCCTCAAGGAAGGTCTGCTACAGCGCATACGGTCATAGTTTTTTTCCTTTGTCGACATATTACGGACCTCGTTAAGCTCGTATATATACATATATCCATTACATTCTATGTAATAGATACGAAAGGAAGGGCGCCAGTCCAACGGGACAGTGAAACCCTTCGACTGTATTATCAATGATGAAATTTGCAATAAGCCTTTCGCTAACGGTCTGAATAGGTTCGGTGCGGCTTGTATATACGTGTGCGCATAAACATATGAAATTATAAGCTTTTCTGCCCCAGAAAAAGTTATATAATATAAATAATATTTATGTATTTGCATTTGATATATCTAATAATGTCCATGTTCCAGCCTATCTTTTTTCGGTCAGAAGGGGCAGTAGCGTTTCATTCCTGATCAATTGATATTTAAGATTTTGCTACGCGATGGAAGTAATATGAACGAGCGCTAACGTTGACAAATGTTAGCGACATGAATCGGGGCCATGTTCAAAGTTCCTGCCAAAACTATGCGTCGTCTTATATAAGATATGACGTTATGCTCGAACACTCGAATGATAGTTGAATTTTACTGTAGTATTTACCCAGGTTACTTTTCATAGTCAGACGGCTGCTAGTGACCGTCTAGGAGAATTGGGTAAACTAAACCTTTATATTAACGTGCGACTTCGTTTGGGTGCGATATAAGCTCTGCCTACGATATTGAACAAAGTTTCCGCTTTAGCTCACAAAGTCTGGACATGTGGCCTAAGGAGGTGCTATGAAAATTAACTAGTGTAGCCTTCCGTTCGTTAGGAATGGACCGTGAAGCCTGGGCCAGGCATCCTTCGCTCCATTTTTTTACGTGGATCGTTTCCTGTCCACGTGGGGTAAGAAACGCCGCAATAGAATACGGAGATCTTGTGTGATATCTACTTCTGTTACTAAATACCTCTAATAGTTATAATGATGATCTGAGCGAGCACTTTGGAACGCCATTCAAGCCTATGGCCTAGAGCCTATGGCCTAGAGCCTTGTAATCATTCTGATGTCTATCAGGTAATGAAACTTCGCGCACACCTTACACTTTCTGCGTCTTTGCATTTCTCTATCTGAAATTTAGCACATCGTTAGAGACCCAATCACTCAAAATACGTTACTTTACAATCTTTATGTCAAATCCAAACAGTCGTGTTGTGCCTATTTAAGCCAGTTACCGCCACCACTACTTCAGTATCAGTCCGGTAAACAAGCTGAGGAATACTATACAAATATGCCTATGAACCGTCATGCGACAAAACCAGCAACTGGCATCATAATAATAGCGACAGCTTGGCTTACTTATGGCTACCTTTTCGCAGTTTCCATTTCTGATCAACGCAGTGACTTCAGGGGTATCCGTCAAAAGGGCCCCCATCATTACAGCAATTTCTACTTACTTCGTTCCATCCAGTGTTGATTTTACTTGGGTAGTACCTGGCCGCTGTGACCATGCTATGGTACGCCATCCGACCCGACATTCACGTCGACGTAGATAATCAACAGCGTTAATTATATGACTATTATCCAACTGCGTGCAACTATATCTATAGTTACATTATATTACATGTCCTGTCATTATGTCCAGGCTGTCCCCTGGCCATTTACTAAGTCTATTTAGTCGACAGATGGCAAATTGTCATTTAAATTCATATAGATGAAGCAGCTGTCTTCGCTTCTAGCTTATTCGTTTCCGTGCCGTCTACCCATTTCAATCGATCTTCTAGGTCGCGATGGGTATTTATTTTTAAACTGGCGACTACTATCTGGCCACCGCTCAATCGCACCGACCGACCAACGGATCATTTAATGTAACGGATGGTCATTGTTCAATGATTGTCAAGATGTAAGGATAATGATGGCGGTGTTTTTAATGATAACGACAATGATTATGTTCACATTGGTATGGCAAACATTACGCCATCCGCAATGCGACCCATCAGTGTGACAATTGTTGGCTGCACGGTGAAGTCTGTCATCGTCTGACTGAGCCGCATGAATCCTTAAGAGCGTCAATGCAGAAAGAATCCAGCGTCATTTTAAATGATGAGCTCGGAATGTACCTCCACGCTAATTTTCCGTATGTGCCAGTAAATAACGACCGTACACGCAACACTGCATTGGATATAGGGGGGAGGGGGGCAACACCGCAGTGAGATGCCTGCATTGCTTCTGCTATCTCAGTAATTTCAGGCTCGACCAACTAAAAGGTGCTCGTGTTGTCAAAGGTACCCCCCCCCCCCCCCAAAGACGTTGTTCGACTTACCCAGCCTTCAATACGCTGTATAGTGATGCTGTTATTATGATAGAATTGTCTAATTATGAGATCAGGAACACGGTATCAGCGTGTGTGCCACTATATCTATATATAGTGTGAACGTAATGCATAGAAACACCTTTATAATTAATGGTTGTTGTTACAGAAATCGATACGGCACGATAACCATGACAACAAACCTTCAGAAGAAGAAGAAGAAGAAGAACCGGCAATCACGGAAGAAAAGAAAGGTACACCGAACAGGACCGATTCATAAGTAAGCGAACAAAGTTCGTATTCCACAAGCACATATTTTACTTTTCAGCTCCTGGGACATGTTGTCGATTTTAATACATGGAACAGTTCAACTTAGTTGATCGATGTGTGAAACAATGAAATTTCGATTCCAGTAGATATGTCTTTGTGTATTTGGTCCTATACGCGGCCCAGTTGCTCCATGGTACGCATCGTCGACTTATCAAAAGCTGTACTTACAGGTCCACGATCTGGAAAAGCAGAACCGGTTCCATGGTCTCACACATCGCTTAGCCATAAGGCATTTAGTTACGAGCAGTTAAAACAATTAAACGCATAGCAGAAACACCCCCACGCCATATTACAGGCGGGCTACTCGTCGTCTGGCCCCAGTCAGAAGTACGCTTTATCTAGAATTGTCGACTGCGTAGAAGATAGCGCATTTGAGAATGATACAAAGTCACAATAACAGTAACCCAACAGTAAGTTTGTTTAATCAACAGCAATCGATTACGAGCAATCAATCGTAAATTAATTAATTAATTAAAATTAACGATTGCGGATTGATCTGCGCCGAGACTGATGCACA